TTTATTATGCAAATATTTGTTTGTTGCTTCCCCACTACAAATTTAAACAAGCAAAAAGAGAAAAAGAAAAGATACCATTGAGTTATTGATTTATTTATTTTTTGGATCAAACATAACGAACATATCTTCTGTCATTGACAGTTGACTTGTCATAGACTATACAATGAAGAAATTCAACTGCAATCTAACATCCAAAAACTGCATACCTAAGAGAACTCCTGCAGACTTTTCCAACATTTAGACAGTAAAAAATAGACTTCTCTGTTGACTGTTGGCCTACCATTTCCCCTAAACTCCCTCAGATAAACTGTTTGCTTGTTTAAAAAGGGATACCCAAAGCCTTCTTCATTTTTCACCCACCATTTGTACAAACCATACAACTGCACCTCATGATACTGGTAACTGTCACTACTAACCTTAGCCATTTTCTTCAACTAACAAACCTTCTCTCCATTTCTTCCCCCATCCCTCGTTGTTAGTAATTTTGGTCTGACTATTCAACATCTTAAACATAATTAATGGCATTTTTTCAGTGAAAGCTGACATTAAAAGCAAAATATTATGTTCTCTTTCTTTCATAGAATATATTACAAATGCACGCGAGTTTGTTTTTTTTGGCATAGCAGCCTAAAACCAATGGCTCTTAAGGTATGTAGATCATTCGCAGCATTTCATGTACGCATGCAGTTTTGGATGACTGCTCAACAGCTTTACCTAATTCTCTTCCGATCATCAGCTAATTTTCCTGCACCAACCAGAAATATTAACTGTTTGATTGCTTCCAAAACACACACACAAACAGAGGAGACGTTAATACGTTATTCTTTGCCATTGTTTGAATATATATATATATATATATAGGATTTGCGATCAAGGAAAGAATTGAAGTAGAACTAGGAACTTCTTCTGTCATGGGATCGGAAGTTCATATAACGTGGATCGCTGGTTGCATAGCAACTCCTCACTCTTTCTGCATATTCCAAATTTAGCTGATGGGTTGGATTCCTTCATGGACATGATAAGGATTCTCCAACTTGACCACAAAGCCTACTTCTCTGATTTTGATTCCACTACTAATCTTCCTGGTGACAACTGACAACAGGCCAGCTCCTTTAATTAGGCACAATACTGGGGTTACGAGCATCTGTAACCTCCTAAGATATGTCAAAAACCTGCTAAAACTCCAGGTGATTGAAACCAAGATAGGAAAAGTCATAGTGGTATCCGAAACACTTGAGATAATTAAATGCCTTGGATAGGGTTAGATTGGTTCTTCAATAATGTCTAATTAGTTCATTAGATTGGACTTTGGTGGACATAAGCTTGTTTGATGATTGTTAGAAGTGTTTGTCAGTATATCTGATTTGACTAATGTTTGCCAAAATCTGGTTTTAAGGTTTCTGAGACGAGAAGTCTTCTGAACTTCTCAACTGCAAAACTGCTGAAAGCTAACAGCCTAACCATCTGAGAATTACGGACTTAGGCTTTCCTAGGATCAACTTAGACGTACACCTAACCTTAATATATACACCAACCTGACCTAATGATACTGCCAATTAGACCAATTCTGCTTTGTTAGAAACTTGTTGGTTTTGGTCAAAATACCATCAATTACAACTGTGTACATTCTAATTTCATGCTTCGTGTCATTTCATTAAATTCTTGCACGATACAAGGATATTCAAAATTGATCCACCGCAAAGAATTGGAGGCTAACAAAACAAGACACTAGCATAGAAATACAATGTCCTTGGAGTGCAACTTACTTTTAAGATTGTGGACATTAGGTAGAGGATAAAGATGTTAGCGTCATTATTGACATAAATACATTTGTTTACACTTTACATCGATATTTATACAGCCCTTGATGGCATCTAACACCTTTGTCTTATTATATTAGATCATAGATGCCTTTTCCATATGTTTTATGTAGAAAATGACCTCCCTTTTTTTTCCTTGTGGATTGGGAGTAGAAGTCGCACATAATAAGCTTTGTTGACTAAACATGGTAGGCAAGATATGCTTCGTAAAAGCATTCTTGTCAAATTCGAGGTTAAAGAGAAAACCATCACACATATGATGGAGATAATCAAAGTTTCCAAGCACTTAGCAAGATGTCATCTCATAAAATTCAAACTAATACTAATGCAAACCTCAAAAGTTGAATGATGAAAAACTTAATTTTGACCAATGGCACAAGTAGTAGTTACAATCAAAATTGATAGCACTGAGAACAGAGGCACTAAAGTCCATTTCTTTCGGCTCAAGTGTAGATTGATATCAGGGTAACAATTTCACAAGTCCAAAAGGACTGTTACACATTGTCGGCATTAGATTTGATTGATTGGGCACAATTCCCTCATAAGTATCACACCTGAGCTAAACGCATATAGGAAACCTAACGATTCTTTAACACTACGCAAGACTATCGATTGTGACAGTCACCAAAGAAAGTCCACTAACAGAAATAGCTTCTACTTTTCACTCTTGGAATTCCGTGCTAGGGTTTGAAGTGGTCTATTGCTTGCCACAACTTATGCCATATATCCAGGAAGCTGATTATGATACTTCTGCACACAGTAGAAGAATTGTCCTAAAGTGCAGATAGAATTTAACAAGTTTTGAGTCCAATGTGCAGTTGAACATAATTTTATGTTTCTTAACAGGATATCGAGTCTGAAAAAGAAACCCTTTGATTTGATCGTGTATGTGAGTTCTTCTTCTTAATGAGCAGCAACATCTGATTTTACTAAAGTGAAGAGCTTCTTGTTTTCTTAAGGTGAATTTTGTGTTATTACTGCCCTTGTCCAATAACCCCGGATGAGGAAATCTAGTGAGGAGTCCCAAAATTTTCAAGCTCAGACTGGTTTTGCCTTGGAAAGAATGTGCCGAACGTCAAAGTGAAGTGCGCAAGTTTCTCTGAGGCCAAACCAGGTGGTGATGTTTTTCACTCAGCCAATGCTACAATACAAGATAGATTATTTCTTTCAGGATTTTTTCGTTTGGTTTTTCTCCTATGCTCATGAAACATTTTGGTCTCAAAGTCTCGACTTAAGGGAAACTGTTTCGATGAAGGACAGTGACGGATGCAGAATTTTTAGGTTAGGGGGACGAACAGTCGAGCAGGGAATAACAAAAAAAAAAAATCGTAACAAATGAAGCACACTAAAAGTAAATATCCAACAAACTTAATTAATTAATAATTTTTTAATAATAAAAGACATCATATAAAGCAAAACTTGAAAATTAGACTTGTCTTTAGGAAAATTGAATATTTGAGATGAGTTAGATTGTTTCTACTTGTATGGTTCTTTTTTAATTCTGAGTATAGAATCTCACACTTCAGGGGTGTAATAAATGTGAATATATGTATTTATATAGTAATTTAGGTTGAATCACGTGTCTAAAAGTACCCCTTAAATGGGGCATTCATTAGAATAATTCATAAAAAGAAAGAGTAAATTTTATATACACTGGTAGTGTATACACTATTACGATTGGACGGATGATATATAAACAAATTTTGAATTTCAAAATCAAATTTTGCACATGTGTCTTATATTTAATGGTGATAGTGTATACACTAACAGTGTATATAAAATTAATCCAAAAAGAAATCCATAAAAAGAGATTAAGAGTTTGTTTATAATTATGAACTTACATAAAGAGAGAAATTAGTGTTTACTAAAGGTTATATTTGAAACTTATCTTGTTAAGATTAAAGTTGTAGCAATGGCAAATTACAAGCAATTGTAAGTTGCTTTTAACATAAGGAAAGTAGAGTTATTGTGGAATACTTACGAATGAGTAATTAAAGAAACTGATCAATGCAGCTAACGACCTGGGGGCAAAGTGATATACAGTTCTAATTAAAATTAAATAAAATTCTATGGGAAGCTTTTGGAAAGTTTTGGGGGGCGGGGCCCCCTCTCTGTCCATCGTTAACCAAGGACGCACAGAAGAAGAAGGGTCATCTTTGAAAATTACTTGCCAAAACGAAATCAAAAGAACTGCGGTTAAGTTAGGTTCTGAAAGCGTGGTTTTTTATATGAATCAATGAGAAGACGTGATTGTTTTGACATGAATCAATGTCAAACCTTTTCGTGTAAATACTCGAACCCAACATAATATGATGCTGGTGGATTTGTGCCTCGCCCGAGGCGCCAGCATGCTCGGATTTAGACTCAAATATGGAATATCCTTTTTCTTTTTTTTTTTCGCAACGATAACAGTTGTATAACCTACTCTAACCTGATTTAAGGGGAAGATGAAGTATAATCAACGAGAAATCCATCAGAAAAAGGTATCCAAAGGTGGTGACAGCCACAATTAAGTGACAAATATAGTAAGAGGCAAGGTTAAATCCTTACCAACAACTTTGAGAGAATATTGGCCTCAGATATGGAATATTCACATACATTCATAGTCCTGCACTATGCATATTTACGTCATAGTGAGTTATTGACATGACATTAAATTTATGAACAAATAATTTAACAGTAAAGGTGAATGATAGTTTTTTATATTAAATTTATGAGCAAATAAGTAACTAATTGACATTAAGCGTACTTAATGCTAGCGGTCAACACTAACCGCATAAACTTAAAAAGCAATAGATTACTAAAAGACATAACAGCACTATAAATTAATGCTGACCAGCATCCGCCACACGGAATTGATCATTGACGTGAAATTACGATGCTGCCCGCACAATCATGGTGTCGATTTCCTCATTCGCACTTTTATATTCTTCTTACCAGGACATTCGTGGCGCCATTAGAAATCACTCTCTGTTTGCTACTTGTCTCTCTTCCCACCTACCAACCAACCCGCCTGAAAGCCGCGTCCTCGCATAGACTGTCTAAGAAGATGCCCCTGCTCTCATTCCATTGACCATCCATCAAAGTCAAACACCTTGCTTCCCGACATGGAACCGATCCTTTCCTAACCCATTTAGCCCACTTCTCTATTTGGTTACACCCTGATTTGATTGCAATTAATTGAACTAAAATCAAGGGTCATCAATTACAACTTTACATGAAAATTTTCCTACGGATTACAACATACAGACCTTGAAAGACTTCTAAAATGAAGCGGATCCTTCACCAAATAAAAAAATCAACAAGATGATGCCCTATTGTTGGCCAAAAGAGTTGACGTTTACAAAGCTGACAGTTCAACTTCACGAGTGCAGGGCCGATAGGCGACAAAGGTGTTATCATTAGAGAAAGAACCCGGATTAAAGCATGTGATTCCTGTGTACTTGAAAGCCTTTTGCTCACTTCTGTCTCCCAAGACTATCTGTTACAGAATGCGATCAATGAAATCAGAACTGTAAGGTTCGCAATGATACAAAATATGCGACCGGAATATTTTCACACTCATTGTCAGCAATTTGTTGAAACATCAAAAAGACACTTGGCACAGTTCTAATAAACTCAGATTCACATCTCTGTAGTAATATCAAAATAAGTTGGAAGCTTTGTTATTAAGGCAAGCCAACAAAGGCTCCCGCCATAACCAAGTCCGAAAAGGCCAGTGAATGCAACTAGATCAGGATGAGTAGAGAGGAAAGGCACGCTCAATGAAAATACTTAATGTTCCAATATTCCAGAAGATGTCTTTCACAAAGACACGAGAGATTTACGTGACTCCAAACATAGAGAAGTTAGTATATCTGTGGGTGTGTTTGTACATGTTTTACATATAAACAATAAATGTTGAAATCCCAATAAGAATATGCGATGCTTGTGCTAGAGAAGCTAAGCCTTTCCCAAACAGAATCTACAGTGTTTATTGCATCTGCACGGATAACAATCATATGCAGGTTTTGGTTGGCGAGACATTCTGTCTTTAACAATATCAAAGGTTTTCAGTCAAGCTTCACCATCAACCATGAATAGAATTCTTGAAACATAGGCAGTCTCATTTAGTATTCATAAGGTAAAAGCTAAAATGCTTCTTATCAAATTGACTTGGCAAAGAAACCAGATGGTAATCTATATAAAAGTCAAGATAAAAGAATCAGCATACCGTATGCGGGGTGGGATAGAGATGTAGACTGTGATCATAATTCCAGATAATTGGTTGTACACTCAGAGGTAGGGGACAAAGGTGACTTTGATGTGTGATTGTAGCCACAAGCTGCCAAAAAAAAATTAATAATAATAATAATAAATGGAGAATACTAAGATTCAAGGTACAACTATATCAGCCAGGAATATGGCCAGGATGTTTGCACTCCCACTTGAACGAAAACAGCCCGCATGCAGAATGTGGTAGAATGGAAGGAGTTGAGTTATTGAGTACACTCCACAACAACCTACAGTATGTTATGATAAGTACACTCACATGCTCAAAAGGATCACTTGTTTCTTCTGTTGAAGGGGGCATGAGACAAGATCTACGCATCCTATAAAGCAGATCTTGACGGAAAAATACAATTTCTTGTGTATAGAACTTGATTCTGGATTGACACAATTAAGACAAAAGAAGTGTTAGTGTAACCGGTGGATTCGAGAGTTGAAAGCAAAGACCAAATCTTAAGGAATACGGAGCACGGGCTATCCAAACCCACATGAAATGAACTCAAGCAGCCAAAACACAGAGGAAGCTGTCAAATGCACCTATCCTCAAAATTTACCTGCAAGGATTAGTAGAGAAAATTGCATTTGGAATGTGTTTCTGAAGTTCTTCAGTTATGTACTTTGGCAAAGGACATCTAGGTAAAACAGTTGAGGGACCTGGAAAAACAAAGATAACGCCTCATTTTGCAGAATTTACACAGATGAACAATGGAGATACTTTGACTATCTTCTCAACTTACCGGCATCATCTGGACCAGGAATAAAAAGAAATCTACTTTGTTCCATTAGTCTTTGGTGGGTAGCAATCGCTTGCCCTAACTTTCCAAACTGCAACCTGCAAGTATGGTTGTGTTTTGATCCTTAGGCTCATTCTAGTACTCATAAGAGCTAAAACAATATAATTGAAGAAAACCATAGCTGGTCCCCCACCTGAGACTTGAGAAAGAATTGAAAGAAAGATTACAAGGACGAGAGCAGAAATTTCCCATGAAAACAAAAAGAGAAGGAACCACATCCACATTCTCGTAACCATCGAGGACTGTCTCCAAATTTGCCACAGTCTTCTCTAAGATAGGAGAATAGCCAGGTTAAACAGTGTTTTTTTTCCCTATCTTTTTTGGGGGTGTGTGGCAGTGATATTTTTAAGACCAGCAATTAATAAGAGTTAAGGCACGTGTACCTCCTCATTGTCAAGCCAAATGTCAGAAAGTATAACAAACATGTCATTCACCGCCCTACTCTCCAACTCTGAAAGTCTCAGCTGTTTCCATAATTAGGGAAATACAAATATCTAGCAATCATGATCAGTTATTAATCAAGTATTATCACATCTAAAGGATACTGTTTCCTCTTTAGTAAGTATACCACCACCAAAGAAGTCCACACCGCTAAAATAGCTGAAAGACTTTTCTCTATCCTCTAAAGGAGGAAATCCACATGTTTTAACCTGCAAAACACACTTGAAAATCAGGGTACTAATCAGGAATTCAACCAATGCCACACCTAATCCCGTCCTTAAACAAAAATGATCAACAAGTATGGAAAGTCAAATTTGCTAGTTAGTGAACTATAAACCATTCGTGAAATTTGTAGACAGTTAAAGTGTGAAGTGGTTGTCAATGTTCTATGGCAAGGCTTCAAAAGTTCAAATCTAAAGCTTATTGATCTTCTTTGGGCTTTTTAATCAAGTATTCAATTGGCAAGGACCCAATCCCACTACCTTTCTGATTAGTACACTTAATCCAGTCACCATATGCAGCTGTAACAAGTCTGACTTCAAAGCTATCATAGCTTCCTTCTCAAGCTCATTTGTAACCTTGTATATTTTTGTTTTTGAATAAAATCCTGTGTCATTAGGTAATACTTTACTTTTTAAAATGTAAAAATTAAATTCAAGTGTGCTTATGCCTCACCCTAATTATTTAAAAAAAAAACTCTACAAATATATTTCCCTTCTCCACCTTCGAGGAAACATAAAAAGAAAGAAAATGACCAAGAAAGGAAACGCATTCCCCTTCTTGAACAATAGGAGAGAGCTATAGTTGTCATCTGCAGATTCAACAGCAAAGAACAATGAAACTCATTCATTTATCTTTTAGTTGGTGGAAGCCAATAGCACTGAATAATTGAAGAAAGCATATTCCTAAGTCCAAAAGTCCTAATCAGGAACTTAAAGAGGAAAAAACAAAAAGGTGACCAGTAGTACGAGTATATGCTGAATCGTATACCAACAATGTCTGCAAGATCTCAAAATTGATGAGGTTGGAATGGTGTCTGGAAAGCAAATTTCAGAAAGAGTTTTAGTCCATAAACAAGAAACAAAGCAAATGCAAACCTGAAAAACACCATCCAAGAGCATCTCGCCTTCTGCTAAAACAATCGTGTTTTCTGAAAAGTACCCTGTAGTTATTTTGTACTGTTTGTCAAAGAAAACGAGCATCCTAGGAAACCTTTTGTGGCTTTATGCACAAAAAAAAGGACCATAAGATTTCAGTGAGCAACAAGCAAACTAAAAGCTGACTATTTATCTGTTGCAGTATGTTTAACAGTCCAGAACGTAAAAAGATGGATAAGAACTTAAAGAACATTACTTGTTCAGGCAGAATGATGGCACCACATCAAATGATTCAGCAAAAACACTTTACAAGAAGTTTACTTTTTCAATAAGGAAAACCAAAAAAAATTAGAGATGAAAATCAACCAATGGTTGAAAACCACACTAACTGAAGTCTGGCAATCAAAAGGCATATATTGACATAAACAGGTGCATAAAAAACAAAAATAATAAAATAATAAAATAACAGTCTCTGGCAGAAGACCAAAAAGGTACAAAATTTGCATATTTCAGAAGAGAAAACCATTTTCAACCATATAATAGCAATGTATCCAAGAAACTAATGTTGTTTTAATTAATAAAGGATATTGCGTTAGATAAGTCAACTTCAACAGCAGCATTTAGATCTTCCAGGTAGAAGTGCCCATCTTCTAGCTGAGATATTAAACCCATGATCCACCTCCTCCCTGTTTGCCCAACCAAAGATTGAATTGGAGATATCTATCACCATTTTATAAGATTAGAATTTAGCATCGAGCATTCAATTAGAGAGGAATAGGCCTACTATTTACATATGTTCGCATCAGTATGCAAGAGAATTTAGGAGAATGTACCTCACAGCTCCCATAGTCAGAGAAGTCAGAACCAAAATTTGGCCTAGAAAAATGGGGATCACGAGAAAGTCTCTGGAACAACAAGAGAAACCTATCCCTATAGAGAGCCGCTTTAGCAGAAGCATCGCCATGAATTGGATTTCGGCCTGTATGTCTACAACCCCAAAAAAATACAGAGAGAGATTATTACCAGCAGTAGCATATTAGGCTCATCAATTTAGTGAATAAAATTGAATGACAATTAATTGGTTTCCCTCAAAGTTCTTCTTGTCCTACTAAATTTTAATGATCAATCATCAGTTTTCCATCAGTACTTCACTCCTTGCACTCATGTTAACTAAACCATACAAAAGTGTCTTCTTTACACATATCTTTCTTTAATTCATGACCACTACATAAAATCCACATTTTTAGTTTTCTAAAACAAATAAGCCGAACAGTCCATAACTTTTTCGATCGCCTCATCCCTTAAACAGCTAAACAAGCTATTTTTGCATCAAATTCTCATCTCTTATTTATATATCATCAATAACTCAACATGAAATCATCAAACATAAACATAATAAAAAGCAGGATTTAGACTCCGGCCATAAAAAAAAGTCCAGAATTGCTCCAGAAAAGGGCATTTTTCATTGTTTCACCCAATCTACTCTCTGCTGCATTCAGATTATCTCAAGTATTCTTTAAAGCAAAAAAATATTCATTTTGACCAAAAGAAAGAACCAAAAATCAAAAAGTTTTCGCGGGCCAAAAAGGATATATTTTCTTACTCGTAGAAAATCTTCTTAACAGGATCATAACGAAATTTTGGAATATCGAAAGCATTAATAACTCGAAGAGCAGAGCCTCCAACGCCAAGAGTAGCACTGTTAGGGTTTTCTTCAACAGCGGCTTCAGCTTCTAGTAAAAGGGTAACCACTTTATTCACCGCCTCTTTATCCAAAATCGACGATTTCACTGCCAAATCCATCAAACCAACATTAAATAAACATTCATCAATTAATCAACTAATTAATTACTTCGAGAAATTCAGAATTTCTTTTTTTTTTCCTGCCTGCCACTTACGAGAGAGGTGGTGGAGCTCATCGAGGAGGAGGTCAATGGCGTCGTCTTCGGCATCGGGGAAGCGGTTGACAAAGGAGAGGATTTCAGCTAGGGCTTCCAATTTTATTGTGTAGCCTCTCATCTTAAATTTTCTCTGCACTTTGCTTTTCAATACGGCGCTCATTATATTGTCTTTTTACAAATTCTTTCTGGATTTTCGGTGAAATGTTTCTGGATTTGTTCTGAGATGGAAATGGAGGATTGCCACTCTATTATCAGTGTGTGACTGCGTGTGAATGTGGGAGGGAGAGACGAAACCCTGGATTTAGATATTGGGTCCACCGGGGAGGGAAAATGGCGGGAATGCAAATTCTATGCCTCATTTGCACATTACCCCTTATAGTTTCTATCCCATCATCAATGCATCCCCTTACTTTACGGTCTACACTTTATACTACTTGTTACTTACTCATATTCAAATTGTTTATAGGAGAATGATTTTTTGTTTCAAGCAATATATATTTGTTAATGAGAATGATTTTTTGTTTCAAGCAATATATATTTGCATTAAAGTACGCATGTGATCAACAATGATCACACTATCAGTCAATACATAATTTTGCGAAATATGTAATGGTTGTCTAATCTGAATCACATTGGAAATAATTTTAGACCAATTCCTTATTAAAAAAAATCTGAATAATTTGATATTTTTATTTGTTCATTAGAGGATATGAATGTGCTACTGAATTTTTTTTTAAAATTTTGTTAAGCCAATAACAAAAGTCCCTAGATAATAGTTTGTTTTTGCTTTTTCACCTTACATCAACAGAAACAAGTTGATTGATTGAATAACGTCTAAGCATTTCATATAAAGATTTGATAGTTTAAGTACCAAATATAAACTTTTGTAAAAACTTATGGACTCCTAAGATAATTTACCCAAGTTTTGGTGCTACCATAGAACTATGAGTAGTGCTGTAAGTTTGGTCGGTCTACTGTAATTATCAATGTTTCACATAATGACAACCCTCTTTAAGTAGTTTATAAGATAATTGGAAAGTTTAAGAGAGTAGTGACTAAATAGTTGTCTTCTTCCAACTCCATAAAAGGATGAAAATCAGGCATCATATGTGTTTTACCTTGGTGTAAATATGGCAATTAGAACAAGAATTTGCATTTAAATCTTGAATTATGCATTGGAATTTTATTAGCATCACAAAAGATAGAAAGCAATTGTTACTATACACTGTCAGTGTCAGTGTATAGAATATTAATTCATATATATATATATATATAGAGGTTAATATTTGTCAAGTATTGCTATGATACATGATGGCTAGAGCTAAAGTTGAAACCTCAAACTATAAGCACACAGGCAAGTCAAAAAGTTGATGATAGAAACAGATACATAATGATAAGAAATTTGTACATAGCAATTCTTCTCATGTCCAGAGAAAAAGCATTCATACTCAGAAGACAGGCCGCATAATCAGTCAGACACAAACAGCAAAAAGCACACATAAAAGACGAAAAGTTTGGCAGAGAAAGATCATCCGAGTGCACTAGCAGACTCCACTGGCTTTCTTGTTTGATATCCTTCTCCAGTAGCTGGCTATTTCTCTTAAGTGATGATTATCAGGCTTAATTCCTTCAGTTTCATTTGCAACAGCAGTTACATGATCAATTTTAGTTGATACTCGTGGTGGTAGAGCTTCCAACTCCTTGTGATCAATTTTAGTTGATACTCGTGGTGGTAGAGCATCCAACTCCTTGAGAACCTTCTCAATATCAGAGACAAGTCTCTCTGCAAGGCTGAAATTGAAGTCTTCGCGAATTACAACTCGAAGCACAGCAATGCGTTCCGCATTTGCAGGCATTGTGTAGGCTGGAACGATCCATCCAAACCTTCTCAAACATTCTGCTACTTGGAAAACTGTGTATCTGCTGCTGTCTTTCAGGGAGAAGGCCACTAATGGAACCCCAACATCTTTCGAGACAATGTCAAACCGGCCTGTCTTTTCTAATCCTTCTTTGAGTACCTTTGCATTCTCCATGCAGTTTACCATGATGTTCCTGTAGCCCTGAAAGAAGTATCAACAAATAACAAAATAAAAAGTGAGAGAACTGAAATGGAAGTTTTTCTACCTTAAGGTGGACCTGACATGAAAGGCAGATTACATGCGCTACCTCATCAGCTATATCCACGCAGAAACTAAAGGTATCACTTCAAAGATAGAACATACACACTCATTTGGTAGGAAATAGGATGCGGACCACCAAAAGATACTAGAGCACAACTTATGATAAGCTCGTAAAAGGTAAAAAGTAAATCGCTGAATGAAAAACAATGCAATTATGTGACAGAGATAATGTACTTTGATTATTCTTTATAGGCACTCCACGACAATCTTCCATGTCTCAAAACAAGCCATATCATTACTAAAGTTACCTCATAGCCAAGTCTTATAAACTGATAGTACTGGGCAATTATTTGGCTGGATCCTGCCAGAATGAAAGAAAAATGAATTATACAAATTTTACATGGAAACAGAATAGGCAACAAACAGCCTATTATCATCAGGAGATTGATATGCCCCCCATGTTGATTAATAGAAGACCAATGCATACATCATAAATTAGTCCAAGTATAACTGCATAAATACTCAACACATTATGATAGAAGAAAAGACCTGGTTCTTTCCTGATAAAACATGTGAAACACAGATGTTACCTTTAGAGAAATTGAGAGTAAATGTAGGTTGATCAGATCCAAGGTAGTTGATATGAAACACGAGCTCTTCTGGCAAATCCTCCTTGCTTCGCCAAACTACCCACCCAACACCTGCATACACAAGGCCATACTTGTGGCCACTGACGTTGATGCTTTTCACCAGTGGTAAACGGAAATCCCACTCAAGGTCAGGGAAAAGGAACGGAGCAATAAACCCTCCACTGGCAGCATCTACATGGATCGGTGTGTTCCACCCAGTTTCTTTGTTTTTCTCGGTTAGGAGTTCGTTAAGAAGCTTAACATTCTCAAATTCACCAGTAAGTGTAGATCCCAAAATAGCTGCAACGCATATAGTGTTCTCATCCACCATCTCCACAGCTTCTTTAGGATCCATCACATAGTATCCTTCCTTTAATTTCACCTCCTTCAATTCAACTTCAAAGTACCTTGCAAATTTCTCCCAGCAAACCTACCCAGCATATATATTTTTAGAAAAGAAGATAGCTAACAGGCATTGGTTCTTAATATATACCCTGTGCTTCTATTGTGTTTTCTTATGTGGTGTGCCTCTATTGTTATTTATTTTTTCATCGTCTTCTAGTGGAGCAGATCAAGCATCATATGTTTTGCATGAAACGCCAAATTAAAAACATCAGGAAGATAAAATCATTCACCTCTGTTGTTAGCTATTCTTTTAATTCAGGAAATAATAGCAATACATTTTTTTTAATGAGATGAAAGATTCTAATCTTTGTGCAGGTATGCAGATATGCATACACAACAATTATTATTCTCATTTATTTAGTTTCTTAATTCCAAGCTTATTGCTTGCTTCAGTGGTTATGCTCATATTAGATCTACGATTTGTGACTCTATGCAAGAAGAAAATGAAGAGATACAAGCACAAATGTAAGCCACAAAATTAACTTAACTTTTCAATGCGAGCTTGTTCAAGATTAGAGAAATGCAGACTCAGTCCATCTCACAATAAAACGATGGTATTATTACATAGCCAAGAAAACAGTTGTTTACACAAATGAGCAAATTAATTATATCAATAGGAGCAATTCTACAAGCAAGCTAATTAGATTACCTGCACATTTGCCCCAGTAACAATGTTAGGTTTGTCATAAGGTTTGCCCTCAGCCTTTCTTTTGGCCTGCCACTTCCTTTTAAAAGCAAGACCTGCAAGCATTATTGCCTCCGATGATCCAACTGTGCCCACACCAATTGCTGTTTCATCATCTCCAACAGGGGCATTAAAGAGATGAGCTATCATATTGACACACCGATTCTGCAAGATCAGCAATCCCTTAATCCTTGGAAAGTGAGAGAAGCATAAAAATTTTACAAGTGGTCGAGTAACTCAAAAAATCAGCAAATAAGGAAACAAATTAGGCGCCAGTCATCAAGAGGATATAATGTTGAGGTCTTCATAAATCTCCTAAATCTTCTCCGCTGAGATAGTCTTAACCACGAGAAACAGTTTCCAAATTAAAGACAAACTTTGTGGTAACTTCTAAATGAGCAGAGCAGCAAGAGTTTCTTCAACTAATACTTCAAGTTCTCCATTTCATAAGATAATATAAATATTGAAACAAGGTAAAAGAACAAGCAACATTCTTCCAGGTTTGGTCAAGGATAAGAATAATAAGCATGCTACTTTACACTGGTCCATTCTCCATTTCGAATTATTATACTATCTTTCATAAAACAAATATCACATAAATGTAGAATTATCCTAGAGGTCTTGTGCTGAAAATCTATAAGAACCAAGAGATAGTTTAAGAACAATCGCAGTGAAGTAGTAGGAAAAAATGGAAGCACAAGCTAATTGTTGACTGTCCAAATCCAGATAGTGTGGAAAATGAGGGACCTAGAGAGTCCTCATCTGGAGGCCCCTTGGATTGGTGTGACATACTCTAACATGCAGGGACCCCAAACATATATTCTGGTGTTTGTGTCACCAATCCAAGGGGAATTTCTCATGATTCCCTAGGCTTGAATTCCGGAAAAGGAAACTTGAGACTAATTTGCTTTAGTTTGATTATGCAATGGTGAAATAGCTCGACTGAAGCCAAAGGGAACATGATTTTTTTACTACAGAAAAAAGAACATGGACGTGATAGGGATTAGAAAACACTGGTCGAGTTATTCCCCAAGGAAGCTATAGAATATCACCTGTACCCCTAGTCGAAACTCGAAAGAGGTCTACCTACTGATTGTATTTATTAAACACTACTGTTTTAGAGCCTAGGGTGAAGGGGACTTTCAACTTGGGACGGTCCAATGGAAGATATTGTATGGACTCATTCACTGGCCTCCATATATTACGGTACTAAAACACAATGGCATGTTGCAATTCACATGAAAAGAAACAGAAATTCCATTGAGCAATCCGCTTTTGTTCTTCTATGAACTCGAGGCGTCCCCAAAAGTTTCACAAATAGGGAAAACAAAAACAGTACTTAGATGAAAAGGATAAAATACAGATATCGACTCTAATAAAAAGCCTGCTTAAGTATCAGTATATTGGTTCTCAGACAAGTTGAGAGCATCAAAACCA